TGTTCTGACAAAGTATAATGCACTGGCTGGCCTGCCACTAATCTTCCCAGTGCCTTCCTTTCCCTGCCTCCCAAAACCACTGCTCTGCTGTACTGGCCTACATTCCTCTTCTTTATACTATGATGGTTTCAACAATAAGGAACAGGCTCCCTGCCCAGGATATCACTCCACTGTACCAGCCCCCCTGTCTTTCCAGGGTTTTCTCTACTCCCTTTCTACTGCCTCCCCTCAACTGCTACTGCTGTTACTCAGATCTACACATTTCCATGGAGGAAATCCTTCAGCCTTGGCATTCCCCCCCCACTCTTATTCCTCCCAAACCACTCTTGCCTGGAGCAACTCTTTCCACTTATATCTAGAACAAAACAACTCTGTTTACAACACATCACACAGCATAGTAAATACAAACACTTACAATCTGGTTTTTAAAGGGGCCTGAATGCCCACAAATATTGCAAATTAGCAAATGTATAAAAAGGGGGGAGTCAGAAATCAACAGTTCTTTTTATTATTATTATTTCCTTCTTTTTTCTTTTTAAAGTATTTTACTGTTGTTAAATTTGCTTTGTCTTTTTTTCCTTTTATCAACATTATACACACACACACACACACCATACAATATAATGGAGATTTTAATATTAAATAATTAGCTTAAGATTGAAACCATTATTATATAACCAATACTATGATGTGAGTTACAGCAGTTCTTTTTTTAATGTTATATTTAACTTTGAATGAAAAAGCCAAATACTTTTATGCTTTTAATATTGACAACCTAAATTGTAATTAATATTGATAGCATTTTTCTTTCATTTCTCTATTTTCAATATTTTAAGCTATCTAAATAATGGAATGTTAATAATCTCTAATCATATCATATATAAGCATCATTGTATTGAAACAATACAATGTATCAAGATTTATAATAATAAAAAGGAAAAAAATCCTGTTTGTTCTATATGCAGGCTAAAATATCCAAAATGTTTCAATTCAGGCACAGACCACCCCAAACCAGCTCTTCTGTACACAGAATTGTACATACTTGGAGTGTTTTCTACATCCCTATTAGCTACTGATATCTAATCACTATATCCAGAACACTTGACCTACATGCCACCCAATCTAAACTTTTCGCTGAAGCAACTCCCTGTGCCAATCCTGAAACTGGAATTTCTTCTTCTTGGATAAGACCGTCCTCTCAATATCATCCATCTTCAGATTTGATTTCATATCACAGCTATCTAGGGCAGTACTCTGCTTGATAATACCGAATGGCTCTACCATGTACAATGTCCTCTACTGATGACTTCCAAATCAAGGGTTAAAAATAACTACTTACAGAGAGAGAGAGAGAAGTACTGGCTTGGTGAAGATTTCTTAAATTAAGGCCTTTCAAAAATGTAAAACCAACACACTATCAATCACAGCATCTGGATCAAGAAATGAAAAACAAGTTTTAATCAAAAACGAAACGGCAACCTCTGCATCTGGATCAAGCTTCTGCTGTATGATTGGCAGAAGTCCTTGTTCTGGCAAGTAGCTGCCAGACTTCTTCCCAGAAGCCCTCGGGTTGAGATTGTCACATCTACATGGTTGGGTGGGAAGATAAAATTTATAAATTATTTGCTAAAGGACAGAATGGGAAGCTGACCCTAGATCTTGATACTGTTGAACTGCCATCCAACTGGCTCCCTGAACAACTTCTGATATTGCAGTACTAACCAAGAGACTGCAATCAGTCAGAGCATCAAGTATAGATTTCATCCCTTCTAAAGCAATTAAGAGCCACCTAGATTGGTGGGCACCACTCCTGGCCTCTTTATTTGTTTTTACACATCATTCAGCCCAAATTTTCAATGGCTGGGGAACTGTAATGATTATTCTGAACTATAACAACATGGAAGTGAATTTCATTTGAACTGCCTTTCTATTAGCACAGTAAATAAATGGTAGACTCTACTTCTTTATGATAGAGTTTTGGACTGAACTGAAGCAGAAAACTTAATAGCAGATGAGCAAGCAGGCTTTTACTCAGGCTGCTCATTAATGAAACAGGCTTTAATTTTATCACATTTGGCTGAAAAACATGGCACCAAACCAAATGCTGCCCTGTATGCAGCACTTGTTAATCTTAAATGTACTTTTGATTTAATATTTTGTAATTATTTTGGCAAAGAACAACTGAGCTCCACAACTGGCCACCATCTGCTACTTTTGATTTGTATGTTATACAAAAACATTTGCTGGAAACTGCTGCAATGCTGCAACTTATTTAAAGGAGAAATTCCAACATGCACACGGGTTAAACTGTATTGCGGGGTGTTGATTTTGAATTATTACATCGCTTCTGTGATCTTAACATTTAGAAAGGCCAAATTATCACTCATTGAAGCTGGCTTCTGGGCATCTCTCAGTATTATTATAAGCAGACAATCTCATAATTTATTCTCAAACCCCAATAGCTTGAAGAAGATTCTTGAATCGTTTCTTTGCTGTAAGGAACATTTGCTATCAATTAATTACTCTAAAACTAAACACTTGGTTTTGCTATGAAACCAACATGCTAAAATGGACTTCAGAAGGACAAGTCATGAAACAAGTGAAATGCTTGAAGTAACTTGGTGCTACCTCCAAGATGCAATGGACCTTTAACTTACATGGCACAAAATGCCCAATGGATTGCAAGACCACCCTTGGTCTCAAATGCAGTTCTCTGTATTAAGACAGGACTAAACAATGTTTGGCCCAGTCAGTGAGTAAAGAACATTTGATCTTTGGTAAAATTAAAATGTCATCCTTAATTCTGGTAGATAAATTCCCTCATTTTGGAAGCACACATTAGAGAAGAAATTACTTCACTTGGGTTTCTCTTTATCTACTATCAGCACAATGACTGATGATCATGACAAACTAGAGCTCATACAGAGGACCCTAAATATAGACTGTCAGTCTCATCAGGAAAGATAACAAAATCAATCCATTTAGGCATACAGATCTACAACAAAAGGCCAGCTGGGTACTTAAACCAGCTCAATATTCCAAAATAGCATAGGATGATGTCATTAGCACATTTCACTGTGCTCCAGTTGGCAGCCTTCCACAAGGAATATACATGAAAGTACCATATTCAGAGGCTATGTTTATCCATGTGCCTCTAGGGCAACCAAAACAATGACCCATAATTGCAACTCTGGCTCGTGTTCCTTTTTCGCCCACCGCTGGTTGTAAAATCTCATGTCCAAAAAGCTTTTGCCCAACAGCAGATAAATTTGCACAGGCAGGTTCTGAAAACTTTTATTAATCAAGAACTCAGTTACATCATTATTATACAGATATATCATGTAGAATGCATTCAAAGATATCCTTGTTGTGATTACGGAACCCGCTGGTAGGCAAATAAGGAGCAAGAGCCATAACTTCTATAAGGGTTACTTCCAGGACCGTCTCTCCCCGGTTGTTTCAACCCATCCTATCTGTTCTGGCAGAAGTTGCATGCTCTGGGTGCCATCAGCTAAGGAGTGACAGCTGGGGGGGCCCAGGAGGACAGCCTTTTCTGTCATGGCACCTACCCTCTGGAATGCCATCCCTCCAGAGATCAGGTTGGCCCCAATCCCGTTGTCCTTTTGTAAAGCCTGAGGACGTAGCTCTGTGCCTGAGCCTGGGGCTCCAAGTGTGGAATGGAGCCTGTTGCCTGGCTGTGTTGAACGCTGAATTATCTTCTTTTCCAGCTCCTATGGATTTCATATTTTTGTATATGTTTTTATTGTTTTTAATTTTGTAAGCCACAGTCACGTGCGTGAGATGGGTGACTATATAAATCCAGTAAATAAAAGAATAAATAGTTCATTTAGTATAAATCTCCTCTTTAACAAAATATCCAGGTTGGCCTGACACATTTTATGTTACTTTTGTGTCCAACTAACATGACAAAATCAGCTTGAAAGGTGCTAAGTTTCTTTTCAGCACATGTCACACTTGACAGATATTGTTCAGAAGGGTCACTAACTTTATAATTTGAAGTTAGTGTATATGTTACATTGTTTCTGTTGTCTTGCTGCATATATTTCCTTTTGGTTTATATCCATGGTCATAAATGAAATAAGATTTTAAAATCTGAAATTGTGCAGACGCTCCCACAGACATTCTTACATGAGGAGTAACTACATAAAAAAACTTTTGAATAAAAATGGATAGATGGCTACTTTTTCCAGGTGCACTTTGGAGAAAAAAAATTGACCCACTTGAGTGATCCAATAAATAAGATATGTATTTTATAATATTTCCTTTTAAATTAAAAAAAAATACGAAAATGTTTTTTTCTTACGTACATGAAAATGTCACAAAAATGTAGGTAATTGTCAAAAGGTACCTGAGCCAAGGAGGTGAAAGGAAAGTGGAGGCCCTAACTTTGTACCATTATTAATATCTTGTTGAGAAGAGCATTTTCTTAAAGCCAACCCCAAAGACCTGTAGAATGTATATTTATATTGAAGGTCTCCTAAGGAAACCTCATTTAAAGGGCTAGTTCTGCAAAGATACTATGGAGTTCCTGATTAACTGTGCTCTATGTTCATTAATATGTATGAGGCTGATCTGAGTACTGCCATCAAGATTGACCATATTTTCTACTCATGGAAGGAGCAGAAAAGACAGAAAACAATAGAAGGTGGTAGGAGGAAAGGAAAGCCTCACCTTTTAAGAAGAATCATTATCTTTAAATGGGGAGCATGATAAACCATTGGTTGCATACCTCCCAACATTTAAAGACAATTTCCCATTAAAATAATGAAAGGAGATGAAAAAAATTACAAAAATAACAAAAGGAAAAATCAGATTTTGCCTTGACTCTGCCCACTCTCTTCCACAGAATGCCACCCACATTCCCAATACAACCCTCAAGGCTGAAATGACCGCACATTACTGTGCTAGCCTAAACTGGGTTTATGTCATGAAAAAGGATCCTGTTGAGTCAATTGATAAGCCTCAAGAGCTATACTTACCCAGGTGGCTGAGGGCATCCTTGTCCCAAGGCCAGGTGCCAGCACCAGCTAGCTCTTCCTGCACAGAGCTGGCAAAATAGATATTGAGGAAGTGTGTGCTGTTCAGCTGAAGGACCTCCTTAAGTTCCTTCATGCTCATATATGCCCTGCAGAGTTGGTAGAGGGAAAAGGTGAAAGTTAATAACTATACAGATAAATCACAATACAATTTAGTATTTAAAAAGTCATTGTCCTCCCTGAACAGCTTCATGAGCGGAACATGTATACTGCAAACAAGGCTGTTCCATATTTAAACTCCAGCATTTAAAAGGATCTCAAGCCAAAGGTAGAGGCTGGGAAAAGCCTCTTCTTGAGTTTGGGAAGAATTGGAGCCAGTCAGAAGAAACATCAGTGGACTGATATATTCTTTACATTACACTTCAGGTGTTTTTTAGACCCATGTGAGCTACGGTTCAGAGAATGATCTCTTCTTAAGGCAGATCCAAGGGCTTCCAACAAAATCCCTTGATTCAGCAGTGGCTGCTATTAATGTCTTGTAATAAAATATCAGGGACAAGATCATAGCATTAGAGCAAGGAACAAAAAAGTTGCAACAGGAGTGGGATCCTATTTATTTTATTACATCAAGACCGTACAACTTATTAGACCCAGCTATTTGTGCCAAAGCCTGGCCCAAACTCCTCCCTTCTGATTTTAAGTTCCAGGTAGGAAGCTTTTTTATGTCTTGGGTAGACCCTATTTGAGTTGAGGTCCATCATATTTAGAGGGTTATCTCTGCTGCCTCTGTAGAGGGATTTTTTCCCCCACTGCCTACAGGACCCACAACATTAATAATTTTTCTCTCTGTTTCTTTAATTTCATTACAAATCACCCTAAGATTTTTAAAAGTATTATTCCAAAGAAGCAACAAATGCAACAACTAGATGTTGAAAAGTAGCATGTTTCAGCCACAGCCTACAAACCCAGCATAGATATCCAATCATGAACCTTTTTACGAGAGATGAGCCAGGACATTAGAAAGACCAAATCAAGTCTGGAAGGAGCAACTCCTTTGAGTAACTTTCCTTCCTGATGTCTCCACTAGTGTTTGGGACTGTCTTAAAAAAGTATCTGTGTTGATTTCATTCACTTATGCTTTCTGCATGTCCCTCACCTCCCTCTCCCTACTATGGTTTCTAATCAGAGGATCCACTGCAAATTATTGGCATATTAATGCATACCTGGATGCTATGATCTAATGTTATATTAAGGGGCAGCCAACAAAAAGAGAAAGAAGAACCCAGCAACAATTATTTCACTTCATTTGAGATGACAGCAATCAAGTCATATGACATGTGCACCAACTGAAGATTTCCTTAAAGTTCTGGTCTTTACATACATTCAGTATATTACCAAATAAGGTAAAAAGATACACATTTACCTTTGCTTCTGTTATATTAAGGGAGAAATGGGGACCTGCTAACATGGAACCCAGCCAATTATTTCCAAATTTTCACAGCACACTTCTATTTTCCAGCTCTTTTTCTTTTCCAGCTCTTCAACTGAGAAGCAGCGCACCCAAGAGATCAAGTTAAGCCATCAATGGCAGAAGATCCATTTCCAAAAAGGTTTGGGGCTTGTTTTGATGTACTCATACTCCCAATGAATAGCAAAATTTAAAAAGCCCACAGACACTTCAATGAAAGCTTTCTCCCTTTCTTGCTTCTCTCTTTTTTCAAGTTGAGAAGCTAGATTTTCTATCATTGTTAAAAAACAAGCCTCATTGCTCATCTCCCATTCTAGAATCAGGTTTCAGCTTGTGTGTGTCGACAGTTTGCCATGTACCAGAGAAATAAGAAGAGGAGAACAAGGAGAATAAGACTGGGATGAACTAGAATAAAATGGAACAAATTATTATTTATTTATTTTTTGCAAATACTTCTAATAAGCAGCAGCAGCAGGGGTGGGGTTGCGGGGAATCGTAACTTGCTTTTTGTCATCTATAGCAGGTCATTAGAGCTGCTTTTAATTTTCCTACTAGCTTTATTTGAGCCAATTTGGTGTAGTGGCTAAGATATCAAGCTAGAAACCAGGATACTGTGAGTTCTAGTCCTGCCTGAGGCATGAAGCCATCTGGGTGATTTTGGGCCAATCTCTCTCTCTATCTCAGCCCTAGGAAGGAGGCCAGGGCAAACCACTTCCAAAAAAACCTTGCCAAGAAAACTGTAGGGACTAGTCCAGGCAGTTGCCAAGAGTCAAAAACAGACTCAAAGGCGTGCGCACATACTAACCTTATTAAGGCAGTACCTTCACACATAGATTTCAACATGGGAGTGAGTAGCCTCTCCCCACCCTAAGGGGAGCTGTCTACAATACTGCACAATAGTCCACAATAGAGAACCTTGGTCTACATGCAGAGCTTATGCCATGAATACTGCAGACAAAAGTTGCACCATGTATAACTAACACCTCACCAACATCACAGCACAAGGCAGGGAAGAGAAAGGCTGCTTCCTGTTGCTCTCAAGTGGAGATCTATACACAAAGCTTTTATGTGAACAGGGCTACAATCAGAGGAACTTGAGTACCCTCAATACTTCCCATTACATACAGGCAATACCCTTCCTCTTTTTCCTCTTTCTTGCCCATTATTAAAGCAATGGAATATATAGGAGTGTGTGAATGAAGAAAATGCAGTGTCAAACTACCTCATTTTGACTTGGCTTGTTTTGGCCTCAAGATCTCACAGGCCAAAAGAATATAGTACAGGGACCATGCAGAAGCATTGTGATGAACCCCTAGTCATTGCTGAAAAATATACCAATGTATAATAATACAGTGGAACCTCAAGTTACGAATTTAATCCATTACGTGACTCTGGTCGCAACTCAAATTGGTCGCAACACAAGGCAAATTTTCCCATAAGGTTCAATGTAGTTACCGTTAATCCATTCCGGCGTCCGCGGACCATGCGTCAGGGGCGGAAAAATGGCCGCGGACCACATGTCAGGGGCAGAAAAATGGCTGCGGACCACGTGGAACGGGCGGAAAATGGCCGTGGACCACGTGGAACGGGCGGAAAATGGC